TTTCTGCTTGAGTCATATTGATGCCTCTTACTTGTGCTCATGGGCTTAAATCACTCTCTTATATCCACTTTTTGGGAGAGGCTTCTATTCTGAGAGAAAGCTTTGAGGGATCAAGAAACCTACTTCTTTTGAAATCCACTATTTTGGATTGTGTTTTATTTCAACCTGATTATAATGCATTTCCAGTCAGTGGGTTCTTCCAAATATAATTACATTTTAAGTAATGCTGATAATACTTAGAATTATAATCAATCTATAGGCATATGAGCTAAAGAAGCACAGGAACCACACTTACAAATGTTCCATTTAAGTTTCATTTGTTAGGGTGAGATTTGCTGCCAGATGGTACAATGCAGGCTAGCATATGTGACACTAAATAAAGGGGAAGGCACAGCAGTTCTCCATTCTGCCTACAATTGATTGAACCCTCAATTAGAGAGAGACACTTTCCTTATTATGTTGTATTTTGCCTGATATTTTAATTGTATAGTAGGTGCCTGTCTCTTTGCTCAGACTGAAGATGCAGGACAGCATTGCCTATGACAGTTCCTCGGCTTGTCTCAGAACTGCCTGGTCATTACCTGCTTTCACTGTAGTGTGCACATTTAGTCACATCATGCCAGCTGCACTGTGATTGCCAATGACTTGCCAATTCTTACCAGCTCTTCACTTGCACTGAGGATGTAATTAGGTAACTCAGTGAAGACTCGGTACATTTTTATACAGCCGACTTAAGCCTTTGAAGTAGAGCCATGTAAAAAATCACTTGATCTTTATATTTTTTTTTTGTTCATAACTTATTATTATTATATATTTTTAGTTGTGCATGTCATACATTTTTAACCGAGCCTTTGATGCATTGGATGATGCATTGCCTCTGCAACATCAAAGAAGCTCTTTGCTCTTAATATAAGCTGCCCTTAATGCAAGGCATCTCTTCAGATTGCTGCTCTCTGAAACACTCAGAAATCCATTTGCCTTGCAGCTATTTGTTTTTTAGCTCCTTCTCACTCTTCTCTCGTTTTTCAGGGAACATTTAGTACATTTACACTCTCAGTGGAAAAAGAAAATAATGAGCACCCCTATACTTGACAGACAAGATCCTCTCCCAAAAGGACTATATTTAACATTTTACATATGTAAATTTCTGCTCAGGTGTTGAAAAAAAATAATGGGAGGGGATCTTAGCAGCTTTTTTCCCTTTATAATTTTGGCCAATTTAAAACGAATTAAATGTGCATAAATGTAATGAAGCATGCTGAACATTTCAGGTCTGTAAACATTTCTAACTCATATGTGAAAGATTTATATGACTAATGTGACTGTAGATATTTATAATTGTGTTTCAATGCAGAAATTAAAATGGGGAGAAATGTAATATTGTAGCTGTCAGATAATTCTTGAAATGCAGGAATTCTGTTCATAAAAAGATCTTTTACCAGGTTAAGTAAGGTACCTAAACAAACTAAATGTAATATGAACAGTACATGTGCAAGCACTGTTGGTTCTTCAGGTGGTGTTACAGGAAAGATCCTTGTAAATAGTCATAACAAGTGATTCATGTCTTTTAACGAGTTTGCTATTTGCAGTTGTGAGATAGTGATTGCCTGGCTTCATACCTTTATTGAGCTTTAATTTCTTTGGGTGGGGAGAGAGCATTTAATGTTCTCTCAGAGATTCATAAAGATGGTTTATTGGCAGATTGTGATGTATTGTGTCTCCATTACTTATGTGTTCAGCAATAATGTAAATCACTCATAATACACTGTATGTCTGCAGCTAACAGGTTTATGTTTGTCAGTTCTTTTATTAAAATCTACAGTACCTATAAAAAGTCTACACACCCTTGTTAAAATGGCAGGTTTTTGTGACGTAAAAGAACGAAACTAAGATAAATCATGTCAGATCATTTCTCACCTTTAATGTGAAATTGCAAAGTATACAAAGAAATTGAAAAACAATCAGAAAATTTTATAGAGACAAAAGAATAGAATGCTTCCAATAACCTAGTTGCATAAGTGTGCACACCTCTAAACTAATACTTTGTTGAAGCACCTTTTGATTTTGTTTTGATGGATTTACAATGGCTATAAAAAGTCTATACACCCCTGTTAAAATGGCAGGTTTTTGTGAAGTAAAAGAACCAAACCAAGATAAATCATGTCAGATCTTTTCTCACCTTTAATGTGAAATTGCATACAAATAAGTATACCAATAAAATAAAGTGAAAAACAATCAGAAACATTTATAGGGAAAAAAAGAAAAATAAAAAAAAAACTTACAATAACCTAGTAGCATAAGTGTGCACAGCCCTAAACTAATACTTTGTTGAAGCACCTTTTGATTTTATTACACCACTCAGTCTTTTTGGGTAAGAGTCTATAAGTGTGGCACATCTTGACTTGGCAATATTTTCCCACTCTTTCTTGCAAAAGTATTCTATATTGATCAAGTTGTGAGGGCATCTCCTGTGCACAGCCCACTTCAGGTCACCCCACAGATTTTTAGTTGGATTTAGGTCTGAGCTCTAGTTAGGCCATTGAAAAACATTGATCTTCTTTTGGTGAAGCCATTCCTTTGTTGATTTGGATGTGTACTTTGGGTCACTGTTGTGCTGAAATGTGAAATTCCTTTTCATCCTCAGCTTACTAGCAGACACCTGAAAGTTTTGCACTAAAATCAATTGGTATTTGTAGATATTTTTGATTCCATCCACCTTGATAAAGCTCCAGTTCTGGCTGAAGAAAAGCCCTAAAGCCCTAAAGCATGATGCTGCCACCACCGTGCTGCACCGTGGGTATGGTGCTCTTTTGGCGATGTACTTTTAGGAATTATGGAATTATTAAACCTTTTGGAATCGGTCTCAACAGAACATAACACATTTTGCCACATGGTTTAGGGTGATTTAGTTGGACTTGGGTGTTTTTTGTGAGAACGGGCTTCTGTCTAGCCACCCTACCACATAGCCCAGACATCTGAAGAATACAAGAGATTGTTGTCACATGCAGAGAGTAATCAGTACTTATCAGATATTCTTGCAGCTCCTTTAACATTGCCATAGTTCTCTTGGCAGCCTTCCTGGTAAGATTTTGTCTTGTCCTTTTGTAAATTTCGGAGGGACGTCCTGTTCTTGATAATGTCACTGTGGTACCCCATTTTCTATTTGTTGATGATGGCCTTCATAGTGTTTCATGGTATATATAATGTTTTAGAAATTATTTTATACCCCTCTCCTGATTGATACCTTGTGACAAGTGAGATGCTGTATGTCAAGATGTCAAGAAAATCCTACAGAAACTGATCTGATTTATTTGGGGTTAATTATTTCATTGATGACAGCTGTATAACAATTACTTTTGAACATGAGATTGAATGTGATTGGTTCATTCTGAACACAGCCACATCCCCAATTATAAAAGGGTGTGCACACTTATGCAGATAATTGTAACATCTTATTTTTTCTATTTTTCCCTAAAATGTTTCTGATTGTTTTTCACTTAATTTGTGTAAGTTATAATTTCACATTGAGGGTGGAGAATGTTCTGACATGATTTATCTTGGTTTAATTTTTTTCATCACAAAAACCTGCCATTGTAATAGGGGTGTGTAGACTATATCCACTGAATTATACTCATGGAATATACTTTATATTGACACATTTCCTGTTAAGCCTCCAATCGCAACCTTACTTTGTATCCATTCTCATAGTTCACAGTTTGTCATATTCAGGATACCACTGACTTTATAAGCCCTCACTGCAGACTCTCTTCCCAAGACTCTTAGCCCTCTAATGCCTTAGTCCACTTCCATATGGAGGGCAGCTGAGCTGGCCATGTTTTTCAGCAGTGTGACTTTTACCCTGTCTCCTCTGCCTGTGTCCCTTCGGCAGTATGAACCAGAACGTCCCCCTCTCAGCAGGCCCAGCTGTGCCCTGAAAATGCCCTGGGGGCATGGGCCAAAATGTGCTATCCCCCTAATTACAGCAGAATGGCGTGTGTCTAGCACAGCGTCGCCGTCTGACGCAGCTCTTCTCTGTCCTGCTGGCATGTGTGAAGAGATCATCAGCTGTGCACATTCTTGGTTGCCAGGTTAAAATGTGACCTGATCTAGTTTTGTCAGAGTTCAGGAAGTTGTTTGGGCCACAACACAACAGCCGTAAGTAGGAACTGCATCTGGAATTGTGCGTCCAACTGGCTGCTAGTGTCCAATAGTCATTCCTTTTTCTTTTTTCAGCCATCCAACAGATCCATACTAGAATAAAAATGTGAGCAGTGGATTTTATTATAGTTATAGGGTTGATTGTCATAATCACTGCAGATAAGTGAACAATTTATGAAAACATGATTTGTAACCTTCTGTTTAATTCTTAGTAGTACATGTGCCATTAAATACAGCTGAAAAACAGGCTTGAAGTTCACTAAACTTGATTTCCATCATTCACTCATTTGTTCAAGCATAAACCATCCTTCTGTAACACACTACAGTCACAGTTGGGTATAAGAGAGAAGATTTCCCCAAAAAACTGGGCTTAAGTTAGAACACAACCAGCAAATTCACAAACATTGTCCGTAGCAAGAACAGCACAGAACTAAGAAGCAAGGACAGTAGTGGAACTAATGAACTAGTCAATACATATGACTTTTCCAAAACCAAAGGCAATATATTCATAAATGAGTCTAATGATGTTGCTATGGGTCAGTGAGTTTGGTCATGGCAGTCCACAGTATAACTGAAAACTAGGAAACAGGAAACAATAAGCTTGTGTGATGCTTTTACCATTATGTGTGTATTTATTTATTTGAAACTGATGGATTTTTTTCCCCCCTGTTTCAGCTACTCCTGGTCAGGGTTGCCACAGCAGATCACCCCTCTGCATATTTTGATTCTAGCACAAGTTTTACACCAGATGCCCTTCCTGATGCAACTCTCCCCATTTTCCAGGCTTGAGATCAGCACTGAGAGTGCACTGGCTCATGCAACCCTCCAGTGGCTGGGGTTGGTTCCCTGACTGGTAATCAAACCCAGGCCACAGCGGTGAGAGCGCCACATGCTAGCCACTAGTCCACCAGTGAACCATTTAAAACTGCTGGATGGAAGAGTGCAATAGTATGTGGTTTGTTATCTGGCCCCAGTATTTGCAGTTCTGAGCATATGAGTATCCTGCTGCTGTTATGATACTGTTTGCAGTTATGGTACCGTTTAGTTACCAATTCCAGCCCAATTCTGACTGTCGTAGCGACTCCCAACAGCTGATTATATTATAGAGTTTGTTGTCCCTTGGCTCCAACAAAAGACCAAAAGAAAAAAGTTCTATGCAATGTAGCTTTCCATATTATGGGGGCAATGTTTTCATATTGAATAACATAGTGACTCATTACCTGGACAAGCACAGCAGTAAATCAGTGTGCATGTCTTGTTATGTGACCTTTTAGAGAGAAAGCTCCTGGATATTCAAAAAATTTACATATACGTATAATTCACATATTACAGATACATACAGTATATAGTAGTTTATCAGTGTTGTACATGCTGAATGAACAAGAGTTTTTGGCAGATTTAACATTTTCAAAAGATGCTGAGACTTGCAGAAAATCTTATAGTTATATTGTAAAGAAAAAACTGAGTGTTATGTATGTGATATTTTTGCATTATATTTGTGACACAACCATGTCATAAACACATGATGGCAGATGTCATGTGCTGTCATGAAGTGCCATGAGAGCTTTTGTCAATTAATATAACTGTGTTACGTTACCATTACTAGTAGCATGGTAGCTTTTGCTAATTCATTTAGTACATATTTTACAAGTGATGTTGACATGCTCAGTCTGCTTTGCTCAGTTAACTTTCGTGTTTGTTTTCATGTTTAGGCATGTTCTTTTTTACTTTTGTGCTAAGTCTATTGCAGATACAATAGACTTGTAGCAGCGACTGTTAACTGTTAACATCTCATAAAGATGGTAGTTGGCCTTCTTTTCACTGTGGTTTGCATGCCAGAGGAACTCAATTGCTTTGTTTACACCAGTGAGCAGCTGCTTGCACTGTGGAAATCGCTGGTGTCCTTAGGCAAGAAACTACAAATTCCTGTAGAACCTAGGAAGCCATGCAAGAGCTATAGGACTGGAGTAAAACATCCGAACAAAGAGATAAGCCTGCATCACCCCCTTTCATTATGGGCAATGTAAGATCTGTCACCAACAAAATGGAAGAGTTAACAGCTTTGACGTAGAGCCAGTAGGAATATTGTAAATGCAGTATTATGAGCTTTACAGAGATCTAACTAAACTAAACTGACTTCTGATGCTAATATTAACATTGTGAGCTTCCATTTCCTGAGTGCAGATCATAACAACAGAGATAAGAAGTGATAAGAAGAAAAGAGAGGTACTGGCAATGTTTGTAAACAACAGATGGTGTAATCCTGTCATGTCACTTTAAAGGAACAACTGGGCACTCCAGACATTGAGATACTAGCAGTTACCTTAAGGCCATACTGTCTGCCCATGTTATCACAATAGTAGTGTACGCCTTGCCATCTGCCAACATGGTCTCCATGTGTCTCATCATTCACAATGTGACTGATGGACTGCAGACTTGCCAGCCACTATTCGGCTTGTCATCTCAGGATTTTAAACATGCCAACCTCTCCTGCACCCACATTTAGTCTGTTTGTTTAAGACCTTTCCAGACAAAACATTACTGTCGACTTACTGTATGCAACTGTCAAGGGTGCATACTGCAGCTCCACTCCACTTCCCTCTTTGTAAACTTCTCACTGGTTGACTGAGTCTTCCATATTTCTATTTAATGATTCACATGCTACATATACAGTATATGCAGACCATCCTTGCTTTATCCCACCTGTGTTGTGTGTTACTCGGTTGTCTCCCAAATGCCTTGACATTTTTTGAATTTAGTGGCTTTACTTATTGGTTGGCTTCTGAAGACAATGTCCACTATTTAAAAAAAAAAGAAAAAAAATTCACAAAGCAAACATGATTACATTATATACTCTCTCTGTGAGCTGCATTGAGATGGACTTACTAACTGTATCACTGACTATATCAACTGCAATGTGGATAGTGCTGTACCATCTATGACTTCGTGCTGCTTCCCAAACAAAAACATCTGAGTCACTAGGGACCTTAAAGTTCTTCTGAATGAGAAGGCGTGGGCCTTCGGAGATGCTGCTAGGTATAAGGTGAAACGAGTGGAGAAGGAGAGGAAGGTGAGAACCAGAGAGTGCAAGGAAGTGTACAGGAAGAAAATGGAGAACAATCTACAGAGGAGCAAGGTGAGAGAGGTGTGGAACAGAGTAAGGTAAATCACAGGATACAAATTGCCTAGAGACCATCAAGAGCAGGAAAGTGTATGGAGGGCAAACGAGTTGAATTATTTCTTCAACAGGATTGACAATGGGCTATCAAGTCATGATGGACCATCAACTCACCCATTAACTCACCCATCTCCCAGTGCACTTTCTCATCACATCCCCTCTGTCACCTCTATATGACAATGACCATCAGTATACCCCAATATTCACCCCTACACACACACACACACACAAACACACACCCCATCAAAGCTGAGGAAATTATGTGCAAGAATGCGGCAAGCCCTGATGGTGTCATTCCTGAAGTGCTTAGAGTCTTAAGGCCAATTTATAATTCTGTGTGTGCATCTCTGAAAGCATGTCAGGACGTCATGCGCAGACTCTCTCACAGAGTGAAGTATTCATACTTGCACGTAACGTGAACATGTCCTTTAGGAGGTGCTGTTGCATGAACCACACCAGAATTTATTGATTTACACAACAGTGAGCTGAAATACAATGTGAGCTCCGTGTTTCGCTGTAGGAATTATAAATAGAATATAACATGGACATAATTTTGTTTTGAAACAAAAGTGCTGGGGAAAAAAGTATAAACCAAGTGAATTTTCACTCTAAAGTGTTTTAACTCATCAGTATTCAGCAATATGAGCGGCTTTTGTATTAAAGCACTTCCATTTAACTAGTGTTTAAATCCACAATTCTATCAATCACTAATTTACCATGCTTTAGCTTTTATTTTTATGGAGTTGCTGTGGTTTACATCACCTACACTGTGTGTTTTTTGGGAGTCCATTATAGAAGAAGAAGAAAAAGTGTGTGATCCTGCAGGATTAAACAGGCCATTATGATGAACTACAGCTGTTATATAGCCTCACACTTTATATATTTATATTTACAGAATATCATGATTATAGTTTTCTGTAAATAAATCCATTATACAATAATGTGATCATATCACAGTGTGAAGCTAACATTAAACGTGGGAGGACACTCGCTTGTGTTCATTTACACTAGCTATTCAGTGTGAGAGTATTATCACAGAGCAGAAATTTTTTATTAAAGACACCAGTCTGAGAAACTAACAGAGTGAATATATTTAAAGTGCCATTTTTACAGAGCATTTTTCATTTGTTTCTGTCGTGAGCTGTTTTAAGGTTTTTAACTACAATTTCAGCAAGTGGTTTCAGAGCACAAGCTGATCTATAGGAGACAGAAAGTTCTGGATGCAAGGGAAAATTGTAGTTGTTTACACTTTATAGATTAGCATTTTATTGTTTGCACTTCAGATGTGCTTTGAACAGTATTATTCTGAATTACAGCATTTTACATTTAGTTACCTGCATTAATCAATATTGTGTTCACGTCTTCACACAATTAGCACAACAATGGTCTATGTGGACTGAACTGTGTTTCACTTTCCATTGCTTTGACACAAAATGCATTGAATAACCTTAGCTTTGAAAATCCATGAATTAATTTCTCACTCAAACTCAAGTGCCAACAAAACTCTGTGTATCTACAGCTCACTTTTCACATGTTTACATGCTGTTTTCAAATCTAATCAATATAAGTTGGAAAACAAACAAGGTGGTACTTTTTACAATAATTAAAAAAAAAATACAAATTCTAAAAAAAAAATCAAACAAGCAAACAAGCAAATAAATAATCACTGCTGATTTCCAATTTAGCCTTACTTAGGTATTTCGTTTTTCACTCAGTTACTATCTATACAAAAGGGGAAATCTTTGGTCCTATGAGCCCCATGTCTCCTCACACCTAACTGACATTAAGCAACAGCATACTATTGAGCAGTTATTGTAAAGGATAAGGGTCTGCTTAACAGTGTTGGGATCTGAGCAGTAGCCCAATGCCTTAACCACTGAACTATCACTACCACTATGTATAGTTTGTTCATGTGTAAATTATATACTCATCTGAATCAATTCATGGCATGACTTTTTGTGCTGTACATGAAATGGATATCTTTAGCGCTCGGTGATATATGATATCTCACATGTGTATGCACTATGTATGTACAGCAAATTTACATATTTTTGTAATTTCTATGGTTTCAGTTATTTTGTACTTTGGATTTACTCCCTGCAAAAATGACATAAAGCACACTGAAGTGTGTTGCAGAATTTTTATTCATTCCTGTAATGTATGCTGTAGTACATTCTATACAATAAACCATGTTCTTGTTTTGTAATGGAATGTTGGTTTATGTATAAAAATCAAAAACAAAATGATAAATCTGGTACTTGATGTTACCTGATGTTAGTGTTTTTCAGGTCATTGTGTTCTGAATGATAAAGTGTTCTTGTGGAGAGAGAACCTTTTCTAGTGTTCTGATAGAATTAGTTGGTTTTGAGGTGTGTAAAGTGTTTCAGTAGTTTTAATGCATTTTGGATGTAAGGTTAACTGCTGTGCTGAGCTGCATGCTGGTAAAGCCAACTGTGTAAACAGTTTTGAAAAAGTGAACATAGTATTGAGAAATGTGTGTAAGTAATTGTAAAAAACTATAAACAATATTAATCTGAATTTGATTAAACCCACGGAAGAAATGTCACAAAGACTCATCAAACCATTTTTGCGTACATAACTGATACACCTCTCCACCAGCATTCGCCCGATGCATAGCACCACAGGTCCGCACAACATGTAGTTAGCTTGTGGGAGGACTGTGTGCTAGCACGTCTCTGTGTGCCATGTTTACCCACAATCCCCCTCTCTGTGTCA